GCACTTCTACCGGTGAGACTGTGGAGGGCACGGGGGGCAGGGCAGAGAGGGGAAGGGAAGGGAAGGGGGTCCCCTTGGCTTCCTGAGAAGCGGCAAAGCTTGAGTGGCAAGGGTATGATTGGTAACAACCATCTGTTCCCAAGCCCCCTCCCCGTTTGGTTCCTGGGTTTGTTTCCAAGGGGCTGGAGGGAGCAGCCAGGCCCCATGCCGGTGGACCCAGCATTGCCCTGGAGCTCCAGGTCCAACCGGGAGGGAAGCAGGCCAGAGCGAGCCAGCTGACCAGGCGCTTGGCCCCTCCAGGTACTACCTCGGAGACCGGCTCCTGTCCCAGGGCAAGACGTGGCTGGAGGACGCCGTGGTGGAGCACATCGGACTCTGTTTTCCCAACCGCTTCCCACAGCAGATGCTGAAGAACTTGAGTGAGCTGGAGGAGCAACAGCAGCAGTTCCACCTCTTCCAGCTGCAGCAGCTCGACAAGCATTTGCTGGAACTGGACCAGAAGGGGAAGTGGAAAGAGGAGGGGGAAGAGGTGAGCAGGGAGGGGGACCCACAGGAACCACCTTCTCCACCAGCCAGAGAGGTCCCTCCCGGCTGGGCCTTTCTCTCCCCTCTAACGTCTCCTCTTTCTTGCTGGGCGATTGGGGGGCCGCGGGGGTGGGGCCGCTGCGGCTGTCCTCTGAAGCCACAAACCAGACCTCCAACCTCTCTTGTGCTCCCAGGTGATGGAGGAGCTGCCTTTTTGTCCCGAGGAAGAGGTGGAGGTGAAAGTGTTGGCCTTGTCTCCACGCTGCTGGACCATCTCTCCGCTCTGCTACCTGGAGGAGCCGGACAGGTTTTTCCCACCATCCCTCAGTCAGCGCTTGGTCAAGTTTGCTGACTTCTACACACAGAGTGAGTGTGGGGCTGCCCTTGGACCCACCAGTTGGGGCGAACGAGAGCGTCCCCGTCAGCCTTGCTGCTGGCCTCTGCGGTCGGTGAGGGTGGGCAGTGAGTCCAAAACGGTGAACGGTCCACTCACCTGGGAATGAGCCTTTCTCTAGAGCAGTTCTGCC